GCAGTCTGGGCTCTCAATCAACAGGGCCATCCCCTTGATGCCCTTACCAAGGCGGATAACTTTGAAAAACGTCTTACTATTCAAGTTATTGAGGCGTTTGAGTCCGCCGAGATCACCGAGGTAGATTCGGCCATCAAGAAAGCAGTCGACGGACTCGTTGATCTAGCAAGATCTGGCATCTCTGTATGCTTAGATCGCTCATTATCCCCTTCGCCGGATGTATCTTTAGAGGACATCTGGCTCCAACTACTAGGCAGTCAGATTAACTGCATCCAGTCTGTCTCCGCGTCTTGTTTACAGGAAACATTATCCTCCTTCACCCCGGATTCACATACTCATGCAGACCGTATCGTGGACATCGAACGGCAGACATTGGATACACTTCGCTCTGTCATACGAGAAACGTTTACTTCTCTTGTATCCATAAGTTCCACCCGGGCCTTGTCCTTTCCTCGACTCTTCAAACGACTAGTAAACTCTGCAATCCAGATGCCGTCATCCAGAGGCACTCACTACACCGAGTTTCGTACTATCCTGACCGGCATGCTGGAGTCATATCGGTCCGAGGGAGACATGCTTATCATCACAAAGCATTTACTAGACCGGGATCTATTTCAGGGTATGGCGGAGTTGACCCGAGAGCAGAATCGTGGATGGACTCCTTCAAAGGGCGTGTGTTCTGTGTGTCGTAGACCATTACTAAAAGACCCGCACGCAGAACGTGACACCCAAACCCGGCAACTTGTTGTCGTGTCTCGAGCAGGACGTTCATATCATAGTACATGCTCCCCTACAACGGTTTAAATTGAATGTATAGTGAGTGTGATATGCTTTGATAGATGTCTAGCAGTGAAGAAAGTCCCGAGGACGCAAGTCAACGTTAGCAAGTGTGCGTCATCAATGATCATCGCACTTTCCGTGGCCCGTGGCCATCTATGATCCCGCGGATAACTCAATCTGCTGTTCACAACAGATGACCATCACGTACACCTATGGGTACTTTATCAACGATCTGAAGTTTGGAGCTCGCATTGTAATACAGATCCCCTTCTTGATGGCGATAGGAACACCCGGACTCCATTTCATCGCTCGATCTGCCTGTAAGCTAGGCCCTATCGTTCTACTCGCATATTGGCTGCGATCATGGACATTGCTCCTTCTTCCCCTTCTTTTGCCATTTTATCCTGTCCTCCTCTATCGATACTACGCTCATCGGGCCTCTTCTCTCAATGCGCGTCTCGCTCCTCGAGTGCGCGGGAGCCTCCCTTTCAATATCGACATCATACAAAGATCTCAAAATGACAAGCATCCATGCGATACCTTGGTAGCACTGGCCACGGAATACGGCCCCACATTCGACACAGATGTCTTGGGGCTTATGAACATCGTAACCGCGGACCCAAAACACATTCAGCGTATCCTAGCCACCAATTTTGACAATTTCGAGAAAGGTGAGTTTGGCTTATTAATCAGTCGTTCAAGTCTTGAATTTGACTGTGGAGGGGAAACATTCCAAGACACCATGTCGTCTGTGCTCGGGACGGGAGTATTCAATTCGGACGGGAAGATGTGGAAGTATGTTCCATCGCTATTCCTCGCGAATAGTCTGAATAAGAGCATATCAGATTTCATCGAACGATGACCCGCCCATTTTTCTCGCGCGACCGCATTTCGCATTTCGACTTGTTTGATGAATATGCACAGACGGTGGTGGCAAAAATGAAAGAGCGCCTTCGGATGGGTGTAGCAGTGGACTTCCAAGTAAGAGTCAAGGGTTGTCCCAACTTTAAACTAACAGGGATTCAGGACCTTATCCAACGCTTCACTCTTGATTCTGCAACGGAATTCCTCTTCGGGAAATCAGTCGAGAGTCTCTCTGGTGTCCTTCCGTACCCACCTTCTCCAGTCCTTCATCTCGGTAAACCTCACCAGAAAACTCACCCGGAAGTTTTCGCGGGCGCCTTTCTGTCAGCACTTGACATCCTGCATGAACGCGGCGACGAAGCGTGGATCTGGCCATTATTTGAGATTTTCAAAGATAAAACAGCGGCGCCTATGAGCATCGTCAACCAATTCATAGAGCCGATCGTAAATGAGGCAGTGAAGCAGCGAGATGAGGAGAAGAACGGAATTAGGGAGACAGATGACATTCAAAAAGATACGTTGTTGAGCCATCTTGTCCGCGAGACCGGCGGTGAGTTATAACCCAGTCCCAGTGACATTTCAATAACTGTCACAACTCTAGATCCAAAGATTTTGAAGGATGAAATGTACGCCTAATTCTCTTTGTTCGACTTCCGAGCTTGACACGACGGTAGCCTAAATATACTGATCGCTGGACGCGACACTACGGGGTGGACACTGTCCGTTCTGGTCTACTTTTTATGTACCAACCCTCTCGTATGCACTCGTCTTCGCGAGGAGATCATCAATTCTGTGGGTCCCGTACGGCGCCCTACGTTTGAAGATATCAAAGGAATGAAATATCTGAGAGCGGTGATCAATGGTTCAATCTTGTCTGTTCAATCTGTTGAGTACGCTGACTAAAACTGATGGATAGAGACCATGAGGTTGTATCCCGCCGTGTATGTCTTTTCAGTTGACTCGATACAAGAGCTAACGTGAACACTCCAGTCCAGTAAACGTTCGCACGTCAATTAACGAGACAACTTTACCGTCTGATGATCCGGATGAGAAGGACATCTACGTCCCCGTGGGAACCCCGTAATGCTTTCTTGCGTCACTTCATCTCCTTAATCTTAATAGGCCTACAGAATTCCATACTCTGCCTTCCTCATGCATAGACGAAAGGATCTTTGGGGTCCAGATGGCGAGTCTCCCACATTCTCTTGTACATTCCCGTCTAATTTTCCGGTTTACTACAGCCGACCAATTCGACCCGCTACGGTTTATTGACGAGCGACACCACCGCATAACAAAGAATCCATGGATCTTCTTGCCCTTCAATGCTGGTCCTAGGATATGCTTGGGCCAGCAGTTTGCTTACAACGAAATGTCGTTTATCATCATCCGGCTGCTGCAGGCATTTGAAGGCTTTGAGCTGGATGAAAGTATGGGAGGAAAGTTCTGCCCCAAGTTGACACTGACTTTCTATGCGGGCGTGCGTCAATTTTTGGACTGATTTCTTTGCAAGTGACTAATACTCTTTCTCAAGGGTGGTATATGGATCAAAGCAAAGGAAGCTGGAGAAATTGAAGAAGCGTAATACTTGAAATAAATGTACATGTGGAAGTATTTTACTTCCCGCTTTCACAAGTGGATTGCCTATCAAACCCGACGCCGTGTTCAGCTGCTACCAGTTGTTGGGCCTAAGGCGTATCCTAAAGCTTTCGGATTTTTGTCAGCGCTGGCTGCGGTGGTAACATCGAGTGGATGAAGAACGGCGAAGCCAATTTAATAGTTACCTAGGTCACATTGCGACTAAGAGCTTCGTCTCCTCTTCTGATTAGCTTCGCTTGCCGCGTTTTCCCATAAATCTACAGAGGACATGGCCGATTTCCCCCACTGTTGGACGACTGATGCAGGTGCGCGTATTGCAAGCAAACGGAAGCCGTCCCGGTCACCGGCCAGCTGAATCCTCGCTTTGTTTCGGGCGTTGATGTGTTCCGCAATTTCAGAACCTTTGGAGCCCATCACTTGGATAAGAAGGACTTCCAAAGAAACATTTCTGCGGTCGAGTAATGCAGAAATGGACGAATCAATGATTTCGACGGACCTTTCGGAGTTCAAAGGGATGCTGACAGCTAGGTGTGTGATGGCGGAAACGTAGTTATGAATTTCCGCGATAAAATGAATATCTTCGAGGGATAGCTGCACGTGGACGCGAGTGGTTTGGGGAGAAATAAGGTGGACGGGTACGCCATCTCGGAATGAGGGACCAAGAAAGTGCTTCTCACAAGCAACATGAGAGAGCAAAGTATAGTGATGTGAAAGCAGATAGGTATGGAGCGAAAATCCGCACGCAAGACTTTCTACGTTGTCACACATAGAAATGATTTTCTCGATAGAAGGCAGAGGTCCTAATGCGAAGATTCCGAGGTTCTTCACTCGACGGCAGAGCGGTACTACGGGCGCAAGATGGGGGGCCGTGGAGGAGGTTATAGCTTCGAGGAAAAGCATCACGGCACGCGACGATGATAGAACGACGTTTCGGTAGATGATGGGGAGCGTCCAGTGTCGAACGTGAGTCGACACCAGGGTTAAATTCAACCCAGGTGCAACAGATGAGGCAGACGCGAACTCGAATATGTGTCTGAGGATGTCGATGGGCACTCCGGGGAAGGTGCGTATCGGCATGTTCACTTCTAACCTCTATCAATCTTCCAGTTAACAACAAGCGATCGATTAAATAGCAAGAACTTGAGTCGACGTACCTGCAAACGATGTGGGGGTGAATGGTCGATTAAAGGGTGATTTAGTGGAGCATCGATAGGAGTCAAAGTCGCGAATATATATGGACGCACGGCAGCCCGCGACAGGTCTTTTGTGTGCCTCTCAGATCAACTACATATGGATAATCTGATACGTTATTTCAACGCACGAGACGAGTCTGGATTCTGCTTCACCTCATGTGCCTACATGTGGCGTTAGCTTTTCTTCCGCATACGCTGAACTTTGTGTGTAGAGACTGGCGGTGGAGGTAGTAGTTGCATTGTAATGCGAGGTTCCAGAGCGATTGGTTGCATATGAACATGAACAGAGAGAAGGGGGACTCGTTTGCTCGAGTTGAGATATTTCACGTGATAGTGTAAGTAAAAAACTTTAATTTACTATAATTAATTAATTAAAATAAATAATTACAACTTCCTACCGTATTGCCCAAGTGCAGCCCAACCCTAGAAAAACAATTACTTTTAAGGACTTGCTCACTTTCCCAAAAGAATATTCAGGTTGAAGTGGGCTTACTGCGGAGGACTAAGTGTGAAGAGTCAAGACCGAAATATTTAAATACATATTACACATCAATAAAAATAACCACTTGACAAAGGTGAGGTTCGAACTCACGCCCCGGAGGACTGGATTGCGCAATCGATCGATCGACCTAATTCCAGCGCCTTAACCACTCGGCCACTTTGCCAATATGATGAGTGCAGTGGCATTTCATAATGAGTATTACAACAAGTCAAGGAGCGTTTCATACCCGACCCGGGGCTGTAATGTAACGAACACAAGTATTACAGTGCGGTGAGAACCCAGTCAGCAAAAGTATAAGAAACACCATTCCGAGCACGGCGATGATCTGGGTTCTTGGGATCCTTGATCCTAAAGGTTTCTGAAGAGCAGTGATCCGTGTCCCCGATGATTGAGAATCACGATGAATGGGATATCATAGGCGAGAGTACTCAAGCCATGCGGGATATTCAAGACGAGGTGGAGCGTATTGAGGCTATGGAAGAGGTGAGAGGGTGTGCATTATTGGGAGAGAATACTGACTATTTCAGTTTCTTGACGCCCGTGTTGCGGTTGGATCTAGTCAGATGTTTGTGGACTGGGTGATGCGTGGTATTGAGACTGTACGCTATGTCAAGATTTGGGATGGAGCGCCTGGTGAAAGAAAGTGGAAGATTGACTATCTGAAAAAGACGTTCAAGGCGGCCAATGCACAGCTGGTCCACGACCTTTTTCTTGAGATTGCGGGTACGGATGAAAAGGCCAAGGCCAAGGCGAAGAGCACGTACCAAGTGAAACTGGACTCGCATCGCAAGAGGCATTATCGCACCATAGAGAACCGGCGGCCTCTTGCCCTGCTCTATGATCATGTGAGTTGTATGTTTTGTTTGTTGCATTATCGCTGATTGGAGTAGTTTGGAGCTGCTGTTTTTCTGGACTCGACGTGGGACATGATGGACAAGGGCCACAAGCGAGCTAGATCCAACACGTTTGGAGGAATGCTTGTGCACATGCCCGAGAATTTGCCCAAGGAGAGCGGCATTCCGATCCCTGCTAAGCGGTCCGAAGCGGCGAGGAACGCGCTGGTTGAGATTGTGGGAGTCTTTGCGCCGGCGTTGGTAGAGTATGTGGAGGATTTCCTGGACGAGTATTTGCCTGTCCACTATGGCACGCAGGAGGAGGGGGAGGAGGAGGTAGTAGACAGCGAGTAGGATGACGTGGTTGCGTAGCATTTCATACCCGACCTCGGGCTGTAATGTAATAGACATCGGGTGCCAACTTGTCTAGTACACTCTAAAACCTTTACGCGCTAGGGCGCCTAGACCACCCGGCCACTTTGCCATGTCTATTGTAGAATTGTAAACAAATAAACCCAACATCATAATCTTTGGGCGACAGCTGTAAATTCAAACTCAGAAAGCCCTGCGCCTCATCTTTGTCCGACCATCATTAACCTCTCATTTTTGCCTCTATTCCCACCAACGACATGATCACTGCGTTACGGACACCTGCCACACTGTTAAGCGCTTTGAAGATCTGTCAGAATAATCACCACGCAAAGCCACATTACCCTCAGGTCTCGATGTCAACATTTCCTTCTATCCTTCACGCACATATGGACCTTCTGAATACTACACCTCGTACACGTAGAGTCTCGCTTCTTGTGTACTCAAAAGCCTCCTTTCGACGTCCTTCTCGGGGTCGATAGGCGAGCGAAAGCCATGCCCAACACGACTGTCATCTTCTCTATACCCAGCAAGCGGGAGAGGCTGGGTGGAGTGAGATGAAGACTAAGGACAGCGGTCTTATCATTCGGATGACCTTTCCGCAGGCTCACTCAACTGCTCTTCGTAGCTCGACGAAGTTCTCAGATATCTTCGAAGGTACTTTATCTAGGCAGCTTTGCACATCACTGAACAGCGAGAACTTTAAGTGTTTCCCATTTGACGGTGTGGAATGGTACCTGCGCTGAACTGTTCTTCAGTGAGCGAAACGCGAGTTGACGATGAAGCCGTCGAGCGAGGTTCTTGCTAGATAATTCCGTTCCAGGTTAGTCCATCTCTAGCTCATCAGAACGATACCTTCACGGTGGTTTCAATAATCTTCGCCAATGAATAACCTAGGGTTATATAGTCTACGCATTCCTGATGTCCAACTCTCATTGTAATACCACGAACATTAACCAGAAAACTTTGGTCAACGAACTACGGAGGCCGAAGTATGAATTTGTCTCCTCGTGTTGGGGTGGCGTAACTGAGAATATGCAGCCACTCAGCATGCAAAGACAAGCTGAAGCTGGGAAAACAATGAGATTATGGAAGATAAAAAAAAGTATTGGTACAGAGGAGTTATATCATTAGTCAATCTACAAGTTAGCACGATAATTTTCCACATTGAAGTTCCCTGTTCTCTTTTCGAGTACCACTTGGTCAATAAGACGAAGAACATCCACTGCACACCCAACAGAGAACGAAAAACCAGAGCCTCCTTGCCCATAAGAATGAACAATGCTGCTGGATCTACCATGCATCCTATTTGGTCGTAGCTCCCGTCCCACGCGCACATTCCCCACACGCGTCGGTCGGAGTCCTTGGACGACAGGTGCTACTGGATCAAACTCTGCATTTTCGAGTCCCGGAACACTAACAACATCGTAAATGGACCGAGAACATAGCATTTTAGGGAGCACGTACAATTTGTTGCATCGCTCACGCATCCGCTGGATCTCAGGTGACTCCATCGTGAAATTGAGCTCCCATTTGTGCGGTTGAGCGATACCACCGAGGATAAGAATCTAAAAGGAGCGTAAATCGAAGGAAACTGAACGGGGAGCTGAGTGAACAAACATTGTCGTTACGAGGAACTATGAAGACGATGTCTTCGTGCTCCGAGCTCAATTCGTTGTCGTGAGTGACAGCTAAGGCTTCCGTGACCTTAGGAAACCGTTTCCCGTCATTGACAAGTCGGATTAGACCACCACGTAGAGGGTAGCAAGACTTGTCTCCCGCAGCTTCGAATGAATTGAGACCGGTAGCATTGACAATTGCAACGGCACCATAGGTCTCGAGGAGCTTAGCCTCGGAGTCCAAGAGGTCACCTTCAATGCGACGGGTTATTAGCTCTGCGCCCTTTGATTCGACCAGGTCATGAAGCCAAACCTATTTGTCACCGTCAATACGACCAATCATTTTTGAGAGCAGTGCGACTCGCCATATATGCATCTGTGTCGATGACGGGAGCCAGATGCGAGTAGGCATCGACAACCCCAGCGTTCTGGTTCACTGCGTGCTTCGCAATCAAGTCGGGGTCTCGGACAAATCCTTGGACACAAGAAGCTTCTATCTCGCGCATCTTGTTCAACTGATCTGGGAGGTCCTCGATTGGCTTTCCAAAGAAGAAGTTGGCGGTGCGCATCTTGATGGCGGGCAGGGATTTGCTGAGCTGGTCGAAGATGCGGTATGATGTCAATGACCATCCTTTGGACAGCGCCAAGGAGCCCGCGTCAGTGTGCTGGCCTGTGCAAATTGTGATTAAACGAGGTCCCTTAATAAAGCGATTCAGGCATACCACAGACGGCTGGAGGATATTCCCATCTGGTGAACGTAAATCAGTTCTGACCTTTAGATGATGTACGCGTACACTTACAACGCTCCGGCTGTAGAGCAATTCTGGTCAGTGCTAGATTGTAGTTTATAACACGAGATATACTTACCGATCTGAGACGTGATACGAGGTGTCGCTGGAGCCCACTGCTCCGATACGACTGTGACGTCGTATCCTGCATCGAGCAGGATCCAGGCGGTCCTATGAATGGATGGATGAGCTTGACAATATTAGCGGTATGATGCACCCACGTTAGACCAGTTACGCCACCACCGACAACGAGCACTCGCTGTCTGTTTCGCGGCGCGCCTGCGGCGTTTGCAGACGTGTCAAGAACAAGGAGACCCTTATTGAGACCTAAGACTGGAGAAATTTGAGAAGAAGACATGTTTAGCGAATTTGGTTGGATTTAGTAGCTGGCGACTGAGGAAACTGAGAAACTGGAGCGGGGATGATGATGATAAGACATGCGAAAATCTGAGCATTTTATAGCGCTGAAACTGTTTTTCAAGACTGAAAAAAAAACCAGTCGTAGTTCGCAATGGATGCGGTGTAGGCAAGATCACCGTTCTGTCGGACACGGCCGTCAACTGTATGTTGAAGTATGTGTTGATCCATTTAGGATCATAACTTCTATCTGCTTATGGCACTCTCCGGATGGCACCTGAGCAATAGCCGGCCGCTGAGACGAGAATACCTATTGTCCAGTAAATTCTAGTGGTATATGCTCAGCACATCTCGTACCTTGCCATTTTCTATGCATCATTTCATGGAACAGTAGTACCATAGCAAGTCTCTGATGCGAACCGCCTGATCACGAATGGTCGGAACCCCTTAGCTATGACAAAGTCTGGACCGATTGACCATACTACGAGAAACGAAGCGGAAACACGTGGTATTGTCCACAACAGTGCTTATTCCGATTTTGAAACAGAGAGCACCCCAATATTGAAGTGCCGAGACGCTAAGCGAACGCTGAAGGATCGTTGGATATCAGTTGATCATAAACTCAGTGTCTTGTGACAAATCGCACCAGATACCATCAAACGGTCCAGGTCGTCCAGTTGTGCACTCTTCGTCATTTAGTATTCTGTTCAGCATAACAAGAAACCTCACGAGTGCACCGTAGTAAGGCACGAGGGCAAGCGGAGGGCATTCGCTTCCGTGTTACTAGTCATGATGCGGGAGAAGATACCAAAAAGATTCAGACCTCATGACGGCTGTAAGGCATGATCGCATCTTGAACGTAAGAGGGTTCTTCATTCCTCAAGACCCTCCTAAATCACCACCCTTCTTTTGTTGTCGGAAATCGCGAATACCTCGTTACAGAGTTAGTGCACATAGCACAGTTGAAAAAAATCTCATAACGTCGGAGCCTACCGATGTCGGAAGAACCGGAGACACGACAGCGGGCTCTCGTTTACTGGGAAACAAACCTTGCCAGGACTCTGCACATTCTGCCTGCCTAAGGATCAGCGTGTAGTAGCCCCTTAGTTTCGTTTCATTAGTCAACTGGATCCTGTGGCGCTTGGCACAGGTGAAAGATCCGGATTCATTTGTTGATATGCGTACAATTACCCTTGC